GTAAAATAAAGCTCTGCCAATCATTCTTACACAGATTTAACAATAAATGGTCTTAAACACTGGAGTTAATGTATAACTGCTAATTCACTAACCTTTAACTCTGAAAATCAGCGTGCAGACAACAGTCTCACCTAGCTAGTAGCTGACAAAAAGGCAAAGAGAAAGATTTAAGATGAACATTGATAATTTGGAGATAAATGGACTTGTTTGCTTTTATAAGCTCTCAGTTGGTTTTCCGATACGTTTAATCTGCAACGAGAAACACTCAAAAGTTGCGAAGCTAAAGTCAGCTTCTCGTTCGCCAGCTTCTTGTTCAAATTTTCCTGTTCCACCTTAAAGGTGCAGCAGTAACATTCTTAACACATTTAAGGTGGAACGAAAAAAATTCAAAAAAGAAGCTGGCGGATGAGGATACTTTTGCAGAAAGGTTTCCTTCTGGAGATGCGAGAAAAGCGGCTATAGCTGAGCTAAAGCTTGAAGCTGAGCAAAGTAAGTCTGCATTTTCGTTTATATTATATTTTTATATAACATTTATATAATGTGTTTATAATCGTTTATATAATGTGTCTACATGTTTAATTGTAATTTTTCGGGGACTGGTTAGCCATGCTGAATTACATTAAATCCATGGGCTAATGACTAGCTTGTGGGACAGTGTTGACGGGCGCACCATCACCACTGACTTTGAGCTCCACCTTTACACTCATTTCAGACTCAGTTTGTGTCCACTGTAATAAGTCTATGTTTCCACCCCCATTTAGCCTAGAATTTCTCATAGATGTCCTCAGATGTGCTTGTTAAGAGATCGTGTCTGGCCCCTTTTGTGTCACCAACTACCAATCTGTAACTTTATTAGTTTGGGGGGGGAAAAAGTAAATATAATACAAAAAAAATATCACCTCTGAGTTACTGCTTATGTACCAAATTTAGCAAATTGGAGAAAAAGTAAAACATAAAATGTGGCCTGTGCAAAATATAAGATACATTCCATATTTTATGTTCTTTTTTGTCTATAATATGTTAAATTTAGCAAATAAATTGAAATTTTGCACCAAAATTTGCACAAAAGTGCCATTTTTAAGTTTTCTCCCTGCCATTCTTCTATGTAGCTCATAACATTTCAACTTTTTTTATTGAAAACAAGACATTCTTTTTTGATGATTTCCTTTTTGATAACATTAATGTTTGAATTTATTGCAGTGATATATGGTGTTTTTACAAACATAGTCATAGTTATTATCCTGATAAATGGATTGCTCAGTGGCCAATTTAGTTTTACATGGGAAATGTTGGAGCAATGTAATCATTACTAATGTTACTCATACATTTTATCCCATCAGAATTCACCATATCAGTCGTTTTTATGGATGGCACTTTCTTGCGTCAGTAAAGATTCCAACAGCTTTTACCTACTTGAACAGGTAAATTGAATGTTTTGACATGTTTTTCTACTCTTTGGGAGCTAAGGCTGTGCTTAAATTGATTTCGCAAATCAGTCATAAATATTACAGACATGCAGTGGTAAATTACATCACCCCGTCACCCCATGGAAAACTAACCCTGTCTGAATTGTAAGACTTTTGCACAGTACCGTATACAATGGATCTTTATGATGGGTGAACCACATACCACATAAGCTGTTTTCCTGATGCTGTTTTTCATGTTTGTGTGTCTGTATGTGTATATCAGCTCTTACTCATCAGTCTCTGATAAGAAATCTGGTGCTATCAGTGTCTCTCCTCCTCTGAGCAGTGATGATATGCTGAGATATTGAAGTTTTAGACGCTCGAGGAGTCGCTGTTAGAGTGAAGCATGTTGTTGTAAAGTGTCAGGTATGCAGTTATGTGCCTCGTGTCCCATATCAGCTCTGGGGAAAAACTTAAGGCAAATTATCTGGTGGAAACTTCTAGGGCACACTGTTTCCCATACACATACACAAACACAGTGCTGTTAAGATGAGGTCAGTCCCCGGAGTGTCTGTGTGCAGGGAAAGTCTTGAGAACAGGAAATGACCTCAATTCAGTTTGCCCCTGAAAGTGACCCCAAAATACAACGTGAGCTTTAACCGTTTCAGCCATGAACAGAGGGAGCGTTTGTGCATGAGCTTTGTTATGAGTCCACAGGGAAAGATACAGGGTATCAGACACGCACTCATACCAATAAGCTTAGAATTCACAGAGCCGAGTAAAATACTGCAGTAGACTGCTTTATAGCCTCTGTGTGTGTGTGTGTGTGTGTGTGTGCGTGTGTGTGTGTGTGTGTGAAAGAGAGAGAGAGACTAAGGTAGAGAGAGAACATGTTGAGACTTGAGAGAATGAGGAAGGTACTCTATAAGAATTATTATTAGTTGTCTGATTACTGTTTATTAAGGCATTATTTATTTGAATATCTTACTGGAGGTTTGCATGGCTATGGATTCCATGTGGAATGTCTACCAAAACAACTGACAAGACAGAGAAGCACACAGACACACACACCCAGCACACACCCCAGCAGGTGTTGAGGCGTGTGCTGTAGTGTGTCCATAGAAACAGTGACACTCTGGCCTTGGGGCTGTGTGCTGGGTGACATCATCCACAACATGTTTGTCTGCTTTCTTTGTCTTTCCAAATCTATTTCTTGTTTTTTGTTAAATCTGTCTGTGTGTGTGTGTGTGTGTGTGTGGGTGTGTGTGTGTGTGTGTGTGTGTGTGTGTGTGTGTGTTTTCAGGACAAATATGTAAGTTTGTAAGACAACATAAATAAACAGCTAACCTACAAGACCAACATTGTACGCTGTAAAGTGCTGCCTAAAGACTTTGTAAAGTGCTTTTAACAAAAGCTCCATGTTTCATTATTTCAAACTTAAAGAGCAAAACTATTTATTTTGGTTTACTGAGGTTAAGGTTAGGATTAAGTTTAGGGTGGGAGAATCCTTATTATAAGAATTCTAGGTAATTATAGACAATACATGTAATACATTATTATTATTATTATTAGTAGTAGTAGTAGTAGTAGTAGTAGTAGTAGTACATATCAAGCATGGTGGAGGATCTGTGCAAGTTTGTTTTTCATTGAAGGCATAATGAATGCTGATAAGTACAAACATAATTTATCATCCAGTACCCTGTTTGCTTAGGAAAAAAGATAACCTCAAGATAATGACCCCAAGCACAGTGCTGAGAAAATCAAGACATACTTATCAAACACAGAAGCTGCTGGTGTTCTCAGAACAATGGACTGACCACCCCAGAGTCCAGTCCTCAACATCACTGAATGGGATTATTTGACTGTGAGAAGCAGAAAATGCAACCAACCTCTAAGACAGAAACTTTGGAGGTGTGGAAAAACATCCCTGCAGATTCCTTTGAAAACTGAAAGCAAGAGTTGCCACAGTGAATACTGAAAAGGATATATCATATTTATTGTATATTTGTTAAGGGTTATTTGAAATTTTATTACAACATTTTATTACAATACTTTATTGTTATAATTGTTATTGCTACATATTATTATTAATACATAACTAGTTGCATACAACACATGTAGGGCAAATGTGTAACCCCATGTCCTCAAAAGCTATGAAAACCTTGTGGCTGTGTGTGTGTGTGTGTGTGTGTGTGTGTGTGAGTGTATAAAAGAGTTGAGGGTTGTGTGTGCACACATTTGTGTCTCTTTGTGTCCATCTGCTCAGCAGTACTCCAGCTGCTTAACCCACACCCTCAACAGACTTCTGATTGGCTACACAAGGCCATGCCTGGAGAAGCTAATGTGGGCCCCACATGGACACACACATAAACCCTGGACTGGAATCTATCCACACTGGAACTGGACAGACACAACTGCCCTCTATAATAACAGAGATCTGTGAAAATGTGTGCTGTCATGTACAGTTCCAGTGTGCAGCTGGGATATTAGCTTTTACTAAAAAGGTGAATAGCTTATATACTTGTTCAGTTTCAGTTGTTTTTCCTCTCTGCTAGCTGACTGAAGCCATAACATGCACAAGTCTTGATTCAAGCTTCTTCAAGCCAGTACAGGTTATGCATCAGGAAAAAACTGATGCATATTCTTTGCCTTTATTGCAGTTGCCATTCTTTTCAGTGGTCTTGCTTTCATTTTTTCAGTGAAATCTGCAGGGATGTTTTTTCACACATAGAAAGTTCAGTCTTAGAAGTTGGTTGCATTTCCTGCTTCTCACAATCGGAGTAATCCAATCCCATTCAGTGATGTTAAAGTCTGGACTCTGTGGTGGTCAGTCCATTGTTCTGAGAACACCAGCAGCTTCTTTGTTTAATATGCAGTTGTTCTTTTTTATCTTTTTTGTTCCTTTTCTCAGTAATGGCTTCTTGACAGCTACACATCCTTTCAGACTCATTGTGTTGAGTTGTCTTCTCACAGTGGAAGGATGAACAGGAACACCTTGTGGATTTTTTCAGATCTGAAGTAAGAGTGGAGCTTAATTTTCTTCTCTCTCAAAGATGAAAGCTTTAAGTGCTGTTTATCTGATGGGGACAGTTTTGATGGTCAACCAGGTCAGGTTTTTAAGAGTCCCATTTTTTCTATTTTTTTCTCCAGTTTTTGTTCACTTATTTTCCTTCCAAATAAAAGTGTATTATCTCATGTCTTATATCCTCAGAAATATCCCCTGAAAAATAAATCATTTGTACTTAATGGCCACTTTGGCTGGAAATTAAACAGATGAAGGGTACTGTCAGACCGTTCTGAACTGTGTTTGTGTACTCCAAGCATTTTCCAGCAGCTTATAACACGACTTTTAGAACCACTTTTAGAATCAGCTTTATAAAATCTAATCTAAGACATGATCTTTTCAAGCTGTGGCTGAATTATCATCTCACTTATTGTGTATTTCTGTGGTTCCCCTGCATCGTTGAGTCACTTGGTTCCTTTTGGCTGGCTTCCTTCCTTCCTTCCTTCCATGCTCCTCTGAAATCCATGCCAGCTTTTCCTACAAGCCCAAAACTTTGTCTTGTTCTGTCTGTTTCTCTGCACTCAATGGCATACCTCCACCTTCCCTGCTCACACAGATTGCGGACGGCGTGGAGTGTGTGCATGTGTGTTCACTGGAGAGACCTGAAAAGAAAAACTTTGTTATTCATACTGAATTTTCCCTCTTATGGATATACCAATGGATTTGATCATAAAAAAGGCTCTTCTCTGAAGTTCTGGACTAACCAGGGGCTGCATTCTGAATGGGTTCAATGCCAACAGCATGTTTGCATTTAGACTCAAGGAGCTTAACCGTGTGTGATTTGGAATAAGTGATATTCTGTGTGTGTGGGAGGACAATGTCAGGAGTAAGCAGGAAAGGTTCTGGAAGGCCTGGCTATTACTACAGGCTGCTGGGTAGAACAAGGCTCCAGAGACAACGCAGCCGCTCCAGAAGCAGAACTAGACCTGCAAACAGCAAGGGTAAACTGTCTTCTGATGTTCTTCCAGTCTTCTTTTGATGTTCCTTTGGGTGGTATTTACAGCTATGGTCTAGAAGTAAGAAGGCTGCACCTGTGGTGCAATCCTGGAGCTGTTTCACCACTCAACACTCACTTGAACTGAAGAAGCCACATGCATGAGCGGTGAAACATCTCCAAGATTGTCCCACGAGACCAGCTGCTTTGACTTACTACTGCTTTCATTAACTATAAACTGCTTTCAGTGACTATTTCATTGCATTTGTAAAACTACTGCAGTAGTACTGAAGTTAACTGTTTGTAATAGTGTTGTAGCTTCCCACTGATTTCTTACTACCACAACAGAACATGATCATAGCAGCTCTAATGCTGCTTTAATATTAATGCAACAGCACACATTCACATAGGCCTGCTGTAAACAGTGCTTACACTGTATTTGTATAGCCCATTCTAGATGCTTTGCAGATGCATTTAACTTACTTTCTTACAAATAAATATCTATTAATAAATATCTAGATATATTAAATTCATCTTAATTTTCCCTAACTGTGCCTAACCCTAACATTAACTTCAATTCCCAGCCCTAACCCTGGTCCTAAATCTGATCTTGGTAGTAATCCAAACATAATGTTATTGAGTTTCAGCAAATAGTTTGCTAACAATTTGAACATCTGTAGATAATTTATAGGGAGCTGTCTAAATAAAGTGGGGACCCAGTCTCAGTACTCTAACAATGGTGGTGCAATGTTTATTACAAGCTGTGCTGCTAATAGTTGACCAAATGTTTTGTTTTTTTGTTTGTTTATTTGTTAGTTTGCTTTGTTGTGAATTTGGGTTACTCTGATTTTATACTGGATTCCAATGATGTTCCTCTCATTTCAAAGGCCCACAGTCTGTTCTATTCTGAGTGAGAGAGACAGTGCAGGTGTTTCAAACCAAACATCATGACAGTGATGTCACCTATGTGTTTCAAACCAAACATCATGACAGTGATGTCACCTATGTGTTTCAAACCAAATATCATGACAGTGATGTCACCTATGACATCTAACTGGTTTTAGTATTATTTGTGTGAGCTGTAAAGTCACACACAGTGCTTGGAGAGGTGTGGTGTTTAAGGATTTGAGCTGCTTTACACTCGCTTACTCAGCCTCTGTCAAAAGTTTGGGGAGAGTTGCTCCTTATTGAACAAGGCATATAGAAAGCACTGAACTCATGGGGGAGGTCACCACCAGCCACAGGCTTCACCCTCACAGTGACCAACAACCCATCGACACTAAACACCCACAGCTTAACACAAAATAACACAAAAAACACATACCATATACCTTTAACTGAAGAACAACAATATTAACAACGAAAATAAGTCCCTTTTCCGGAGGGTGCACACCTTCCATGATCCTCCTGGTGTGGCCTGAGCGCTTTAAGGCCAGTGCCAGGCAGTATCAGGTTGCTGCAGTATGATGTGTGTGCGCTGCTGCAAGTCACCCTGTGAAGCCTAAAATAATAATTGAAAAGTCAGGTCTGATTTTGCAGGCGCTTTTAGGACCACGTCATATGTCTATGCATTATCATCAAACGCAAATGAAAATCAACATTACACTGATGAAGATATGATGACAATATTGAATAATTCACTCATGTCTTCTGAAGACACGTCTTTCAGCAAGTTTTGGCTGAATTCTCTTTGAATACTCTTTCAAAGCGGGGAAGGGGTCCAAAACATGTTACAGAATGATCTTCCACACACACTGCAATGCAATTACAAATTTTCACCAGCGAGGTCTCCAAATCCCCAAGTCTTACATAGTGTAGCTTTAAAGGCGAGACGTGCGAGTGTGAAGAATCTTTTTAAAGTCAAAACATGTACAGGTTCTATGCCAATCACAGCTGTATGTCCAAGTGAAGAAAATGTTATTTGTAAAAAGTACATTTGTAGATATTTTGGGTATATTTTACAGAACTCAGCTTCATGTTCATCAAAGTATCTTCCCCAAGATGAAAAGCAGGTTTTGTCTAAATAATGATTTGACACTTTTCTTTTGTAAACTATTGGTAGAAGCATGTTTTGAAACTCTTGCCTGAAGGGCTCGAGAGCTGATGTCACAACAAGGGAATGAAAAGGGTATTCCCTTATTTAAAGTAGTAATATGTTAAATACCACTCAGGTTATGTTTAACCAACAAAGAAAATAGACTCATTCATTAAAAATAATTTTAACAGCTAGTCAAACTTTTGACAGGCAGAATATTCTAGTGACAGTGACAGCACTTTTTTCTGTTTTGGTTATTAATACATATAAAGTCTGTGATACAGGATAAATCTAAATAAGTGATCTCTAATTTAGTCTGATTAACCCTATGGAACATCTAGCTGGCAATCCATTCTGAGAATTTGGCCCCTTAAACTTGCTTAAATCTGCTGCCAGAGGAGTTATGGTGCATGAATGTTAATGTTGGAAACATTAAAACATATCAGTATGGACAGTCAGAGCTTTCTATGTGTTTTCTATCACTTTATAAGAGATGCACAAGGCTTCCTTTATGTTGGATGCACTGTGTTTTTTTTCCCTAGTAACTATGCTGCTCATTTAGAGCTCAATTAAGACCTCTTATTACTGATTTATTTAGTCAGAGTGACAGTTAAACATATTCATCTGCTTTCTCATTCAAAAATGTAGTTTGTAGGATGAACTATATAAAAATCTATAGCTTGTTAGATCATGTTGTTTGCATATCTAATAAAAACACAAAAACAACACTGAAAAAATAGAAGAGAAAAGTGGATTAAATGCAAAACTTAGCAATCAATCTTGAAGGGTAGAAGACTGTAGTCACCCCCCACTGGCTTTACGTAAACGTTACGCTCCTCCAAGTTAAACTAGTATGGTTCTGTCATTAAACTATGGCCGAGGTTGCCAAGGCTGAGCGTCACCACAAAGGAAATCAAATCTCCTTTCATACTCAAACACAAGCCCTGTCCAGCCCAACTGAAGAGAATAGGTAATACGATACGTGTAACATTGACGCTAGGATGGCGTACGTTGAGCTTCAAGGTGAACTGCAATGACAGATGGTTGGACGTTAGCGCAAATAAAAGCAAAGATTACAGACCACCTTGGCAACCTTGCTATGCTTTGGACTGTGTAAGTGTGGTGTGTGTGTGTTCTGTAAAAGTTTGGATCGTTCTACAGGCACCAGACTATAAAAGGAGGGGTTTGGATTGTAACAGCTTATTTCTAATAGCTAATTGAGCACTGTACATTCTGAATTAGGTCAGTGCGATGCAGCAAAAAAGCTAACATTGCAATACTTAAAGATGTTCACAATACATAACATTATATTTACTTTTTTGATTTGCTAATAAATAGGAACAGACACACCAGCAAAACTGTATACTGTAAATAATAAAATAGTAAAAATGTGCTTTTTTATTAATTTGTTTGTCAGGAAAATTGTCATTAATAAATATAATTGACAAACTATAAATAAACAATAAAAATAAGGCTCATTTCCATCTGTTGTATCTGGCCAAATGTTAAAAGACACCCTAAAATACATTCAAAAACACAGTATTAACACTTAGCATGAATGTGTGAGAATTTTTAAAGCTTAAATAATAAGGCACATTACTGCTTTATTAATGCGCTATTACATTAAGTTCAATTAACTCTAAATTTTAAGGAAGCTCGGTGACTAACTTTTTAAAATGAAAAGCATCTCGTGAACCTGGCTTGTCACACTCAGTCACTCACTCACATTTAGCAAGATGAAGATTCTCCAGAAGGGGGTGCTGTAAGGTCACAAGCAGGGCATGTTTACAGCTTTCCTGGGTTACTTGGGCTACTTTTCCATGTAAATATTTAAAATGTACAAAATGCTTTTTAAAGTAGTTTCTTTTTGTGATTATGTTAAATAAGAAAAATCTAACTGTACAATGATTTTTATTTTTATTCACCAAAATAATGAGGAAAACCCAAATAAAAAAAAGTATAAAATGCTGTATTAGGCAAAGATCCAATCAGCTCCTTGTTACTACACAATTATAATATGTTTTATGAAGCATGCCGTTGTTCAATGTTGTAGTAATTCAGGCATTATGTGCTCAGAAAAGCGTATCATGTTGTGATTTATGGTGATAATGAAAATCTCGCTCACCCCTATCCTAAGGTGACAGAGAGAGAGAGAGGGAGAGAGAGAGAGAGAGAGAGACATAGAGATCATTTTCTGCTTTGAATTCAGTAGAACACAATAGGCAGAAACAATGTGAACCAACGTTTCCAACGGTGTGTGTGTGTTTGTGTTTGTTGGTGTTGGTTCAGTGCCATCGAGGTGTCCGATAGGAATGCCCGCTGATAAAGCAAAAGGGGGAAAAAGAGAGAAAAGATTAGAGAAACTTTTCCAGCGGACTGACTGAGGATGAGGATGAGCTCATATGTGTCTTTAGAGTGTGTGTGTGTGTGTGTGTCTCTCACTCTCTCTCATTCTCTTACTCTCTCTCTCTTTATATCTCACTCTTACTCTCACTCTCTCTCTTCCTCTCTCTTTCTCTCTCTCTGTAAACTAAACCAATCATTATTGGACAAAATGTTGGTGGAAAGATACTATTGTAGAGAACACATGCACTGTTCAGGGCTGTGTTATCTGGGCTGTTTGTTCATGCTGGTGAAGACAAAAGCAGGCCGCTGGGACTCTTATCAGTTTGTGCCCAACAGAGGAAGGCGTCGGGCTGCATTTGATTATGCAAATCAAGGAAGAACAAAGGTAGACATGAGCTCACCTGAATAAAGCCCTGTTTATAACACACACACTCACAGTCAGTTATGAACATCTGACATCAGTGGTTCCCACAAAATACAGTACCGTGTAAAGGTCAAAGAGCACTCTTCATTGATTTAATTTCCAGTGAAAAGGCCATTAAGCACACGTTATTTGTTTTTTTTAGAGTCAGGAAAATAAGAGAAAACATATTTAACAAAAAAATCATAGGGAAGCTTCAACAACT